ATACAGTTGAAGTTTATTAGTTATTATAAAGTTTATTAGATTATTAGCCCCCCTGAATTATTAAACTGCTTTTTTTTTCCAATTTCTGTTTTACGAAGAGAAGATTTTCTGAACAGATTTCTAAACATAATAGTTTTAATAACTCATTTCTAATAACTGATTTATTTTATCTTTCCCATGATGACAGTAAATAATATTTTATTAGAAAATTTTTCAAGACACTTCAATACAGCTTAAAGTGACATTTAAAGGCTTAACTGAGTTAATTAGGTTAACTAGGCAGGTTGGGGTAATTAGGCAAGTTATTGTATAATAATGGTTTGTTTTGTAGACAGTCGAAAATAAAATATAGCATAAAGGGGCTAATAATCTTGTCCTTAAAATGTCCTTAAGGTTTTTAAAAAATTAAAAACAGCTTTTATTCTAGCCGAAATAAAACAAATAAGACTTTCTCCAGAAGAAAAAATATGATCAGACATACAGTGAACATTTCCTTGCTCTGTTAATCATAATTTGGGAAATATAAAACATCATGTATAACATGGTGGGAGTGCTAATAATTCTGACTTCAACTGTATATGCATGAAGCCTTTTATGCAAGGGAAGTGTTTACTTTAATGTTAGCCACAATAATGCATGATAAATCTTGAATGATCTACCCTTGAGAAAGACTTTAATACGCTCCCCAGCAACAGCAGCAGGAACAGAAGGAAACCTTTATCCTACGAGCAAGACAAAATCTGACAAATGTGGCTCTCTCGAAGACTGCTGAGGCTGGTCAAAGTGTTTGGTAGGGCTCCAGGTACCCGGGCAGCCTCTCCTTTTAGTTCTTTGCTGGCATTTAGGAGACTGTCAGAAATAAGGAGAGCGTCACATTTCATAAAACAATTATCACAGACAGCCATGGCAACATGCCTGTTAGCGCTGATTGCTTCCTCTGCATGCTAGCCTGGTGCTTGCAAAAGTCTGCAGATGACTAAATGATTTATAGATGAAAAGGGATCCGGGATGCAACGGCGCATCACAAAGCCAGCACTGAAAGGCTTCGCAACAAACACTTGAAATTGTCTTGGGTATACGAAGGGAGATTACTTCCCGGAAGAGGTGCACTGTAGCGGGATGTTAAACGACTAGCTGGCTTTAAGGAAAAGATTACTGGCGGTGTGTAAGAAATGGTTCGATGTGGCATTTCTAGTCTTTTCAAGTCCGAGCCAGCATGTCCGTGCTGAAATCCAACGAACGCATTCATCACTCAAAGCTTCACAATCACGCACCTCAGACAACATTCCCTTGCATTCAATAAAGCCTATTAAAGTTGCAACTCCACCAGCGTCAGCCTATTCCACAGCTGAACACATGTACGAGAGGACCTATGGGAGTCTGACAGCTACAGAGAGTAAATTAACCCACATACTCCGCTGCCAAACACAACAGTAATTTCACACCTGGTTGGACAAAAACAGAACCATTCATTTCTTCGCCGATGACAGGAAAAACATAGGCGTTTTAAACATCTACAACAATACGAATGCTTCTTAAGCTGCATTTTACGGCGCTGAAATTTTGATTACGCTGCTGATGGATACACGAGTGCTGACGGCTTTTTCAATCTGTCAGATTTAGACTTACATTTGAGGAATATGATCAATTTGGACTTTATGAGGGCATAATCAAACAACAGTGACTTTGGTGCACGTGTAAAATAGGACAAAAAGCTGTCACAAATCCCGCTTAAATGACTTGAGGGAGTAATACATGGACCTGTCTGACAGGCTAAATAAGAATTCGATAAAAGCGGTGTGATCATTATGGAGCTATTTTGGCCTGATGTGATCTGGCTAACGTGTGAGATTGAGAAACATAAATCTTTCCTTAATATTAGCTCTTTCATCACAGTTTGCAGTAGTCTTAATGTTCTGGAAAAGGAGCGTTGAGCAGCGGCTCATTTGCATTTAAAGAGATGCCTAAAAACTGATTTGTGTTTTGCTTTCTCTTAAATACAGCATGGTATATTAAATTATCTGTGGGATATTTTGTGCTCATATACACAACAGGTTGGAGCTGAAGATCTTAGCCTGAACCCGACGGGACCCAATGGGTTCGGGCTTTATTTCTATCATTTTAGATGGGTTGGGCCGGGCTCGGGCTTGCGCGGTAAATGAACAGTCATGTGATGCATTTCGATTAATAATAATAAAAATAATTCCTTACATTTATATAGCGCTTTTCTAGGCACTCAAAGCGCTTTACACAATGGGGGGGGGAGGATCTCTTCATCCACCACCAGTGTGCAGCATCCACCTGGATGACACGAGGGCAGCCATTTTGCACCAGACCGCACACCACACACCAGCTGATTGGTGGAGAGGAGACAGAGTGATGAAGCCAATTGGAATATGGGGATGGTCAGAAGGCCATGATGGACAGAGACCAGTGAGCAGATTTGGCCAGGATGCCGGGGTTAAACCCCTACTCTTTCTCGAAGGACATCCTGGGATTTTTAACGACCACAGAGAGTCAGGACCTCGGTTCAACGTCTCATCCGAAAGACGGCGCTCACTGAGCAGTATAGCATCCCTGTCACTATACTGGGGCATTAGGACCCACACAGGTTGGGCGCCCCCTGCTGGCCTCACTAAAACCACTTCCAGCAGCAACCTAGCTTTCCCATGTGGTCTCCCATCCAGGTACTGCCCTGCGCAGCCCTGCTTAGCTTCAGTGGGTGACCATGTGAGAGTTGCAGAGAGCTAGCTGCCGGCATTAGCGCGAGAAAGTAATCACATTTTTTTGTTACAATTAAAATCCATCTCTGCAACGGTGGAATAGCGTTATTTACTGATGTTTTGTTGTTTTAGATGTTTAAATCTACATTTGTTTAGAAACAGTTTGGGCTCCTTATCAGAATTATAGAAATTATCGGCCAGATGAATTTTAATTGGATGAACTTTTTTTTTGTCTTATGCCTTACCCAGAATATAAAGATAGATATAAACACATTAATATCATTTACTTGAATTATTAATATTGGAATGTGAAGAGCCTTTCAACCAGGAAAACAACAAATGTTTCTGAAGACAATAGCCCCTTTCACACAGTGATACCGGTAAATATCCGGAAAATTTCGAGAACGACTTTACCGGTAAATTATTTTTTTACCGGTAAAAAAATGCTGTTCACACAGACAAGAACGTTACAGATTTTTTCCGGAAAAGACTGTTCACTTATCTATTCCAAAATACCGTTAAATTCTGACATCATTAACCAGAAATGAGCTCTAAACGGCTGCGCTTGTATTTGTAAACATTTAACTACATTACAATCTCTGTAGATGCATCAGTATTGTGAACAACTCCAATGAAAACATATAGAGGAACACTTTCGCATGTCGAGATGTACATGATATGCGTGTGTGCTGGTGCTCACCAGCTGCTTTATGGGCACACGTGTCAGAGCTTGAAGGTAAACAAACAACGGCTTATCATAAGTATTTGATCCTTTATTACATAGAAACGTTATCTGACTAACCTCTAGCAGCTAAACGTGTCTGGAAAAGTATTCACAGGCTTTTATTCTCATAAACCACGCGCACGTGAATGCGTCTGAGGGTTCTGATTGGCTAAAGTAGACGTCTCATGTCAGCACGTTATAGACGTGAATGCGCTCTTTCCGGCAATCTTCCTCCTGCGTTCACACAGTGCAGCATTCCGGCAAATAACCGGTAATGTTACAACTTCTCTTTCCGGAAAATAGGCGTGATAAATTTACCGGAATTTTCAAAAAGGGCCTGTTCACACATACAGTCCTTTCCGGAAAATTGCAGGTAATTTTCCGGAAAGGTCTGTGTGTGTGAAAGGGGCTAATCATCTACTGCACCTAACACATTACTGCAGAATAAGATGCTATTAGTTTTGTAAACACAATAATAATGTACAAAATTCATAAATAATATTTAATGATCTTCACCTCAGACTTCCAGCAACAGCAGAAATAAAAGAAAACCTTTAGGAAGTAAAAATGGACATCTCTGACCGGCTAAATAAAAGTGCTAAAAGCAGTCCATTAGGTAGTTTGTCCTGATGTGTTTTGGCTAACATGTGAGATTGAGCAGCATAAATCTTTCCTGAAAATAAGCTTGATTTGTCACAGTTTGCATTTAAAGACGTGCATACTAACTTTGTGTTTTTTACTTCCTCTCAAAAATGGGCATCTACAGGATGGTATATTCAATTATGCGCGGGATATTTTGAGCTCAAAATACACAACGGGTTTTCATTTAACACATTGCTGCAAAATAAGAAGGCATTAGTTTTGTAACCACAATAATAATGTACAAAAGGCATGCCTGAATGATCTACCCCGAGAAAGACTTCCAGCAACAGCAGAAGTAAAAGCAAACCTTTATTTAGTAATACATGGACCAGCACTGACTGGTTAAATAAAAATTTGGTAAAAGCATCCATTAGTTATTTTGTCCTGATGTGATCTGGCTAATGTGTGAGATTGAGCAACATAAATCTTTTCTGAAAACAAGCTTGTTTGTTGCCATTTCTAATGGTCTTAAACTTCTGGAAAAGGAGTGTGGAGCAGAAGCTCATTTGCATTTAAAGAGACACATACAAACTTTGTTTTTTGCTTCCACTTAAAAATGGCATCTGCATAATGATATATTCAATTATTTGTGGGATATTTTAAGCTTAAAATACACAACAGGTTTCCTTTAACACATTTCTGCAAAATAAGAAGTTATTAGTTTTGTAACCACAATAATAATGTATAAAATGCATGACTGAATGATCTTCGCTGAGAAAGACTGTGGTCTGACACATTTTCAGTGTACCAGAACTTTAGTAATTCTCAGACAT